CGGGACTTCGTCAAAGGGGAGGTCGCCATGCTCCTCTCAATCAAACACATTAAAGAGGTGAAGTACCCGACGTGGTTGGCCAACGTCGTCCTCGCCCAGAAACCGCCAACATTCAGAATGTGTGTTGATTACACTGACCTGAACAAGGCGTGCCCCATGGACCCGTTCCCTCTCCCCAACATTGATCAGCTGGTGGACGAGACGGCGGGGTGCGAGTTGATGTCGTTCCTTGACGCTTTCAGAGGGTACCACCAAATCTCCCTGCATGAAGATGACGCTGAGAAGACGGCATTCATGACCCCAGAGGGAATCTTTTGCTACCTCGTCATTGCCTTCGGACTCAAAAACTCCGGCGCCACCTATACTAGGATGGTGGCCAAGATCTTCAGGACGGTCCTTGGCCGGACGATGGAGGCATACGTCGACGATATGATCGTCAAGAGCAGGCAGGCCTCCTCCCACGCCGACGACCTCCGGGAAATCTTTGAAATCATGAAGGAGTTCAGGCTCCGCCTCAACCCCAAGAAGTGCGCCTTCGACGTCCAAGGCGGCAAGTTCCTCGGCTACATGGTCAGCCGGAGAGGCATTGAGATAAACCCGGAGAAGACACAGGCTATCATCAACATGGAGCCGCCCCGCAACGTCAAGGAAGTACAGCGACTGATGGGGCGCCTGGTGGCCCTGAACCGTTTCCTCTCCAGGTCAGCTGAGAGGGCACTCCCCTTCTTTCAGATCATGCGTAAAGCCAACAGCTTCAAGTGGACGAAGGAGTTCCAGGAAGCGTTCGAAGAGTTGAAGAGGTACCTATCGTCCCCGCCCGTGCTCTCCAAGCCCAAAGCCGGCGAAACCCTCTTCTTGTACTTAGGGGTGAGCACGTCGGCCATCAGCTCCGTGCTCATCCGTGAGGACGAAGGGGTGCAAAAGGCCATCTTCTACATCAGCAAGACACTCAGGGAGGCCGAGCTCAGGTACTCCCCCATTGAGAAGACGGTGCTGGCCATCGTCCATACGGTGAAAAAGCTGGGACACTACTTCCAGGCCCATGCCGTCCATGTGCTAACCCAGCAGCCCCTCGGCGCACTCATGAGGAGCCCCATCAGCTCCTCAAGGATGGTGAAATGGGCAATCTTCCTCAGTCAATTTCAAATTGAGATCAAGCCAAGGCCATCTATCAAAGGGCAAGCCTTGGCCGACTTCGTCACTGAATGCACATCAAGGGAGACGGTCGTTGCCAACCCCGGGCCAGAGCCGGGCGATACATGGATTCTATTCACTGACAGCTCGTCGGCCGCGAAATCATGCGGTGGCGGCGTCGTCCTCATATCCCCTGAAGGATTTAGAGCTTACTATGCCATCCGCTTCAACTTCAGGGTATCCAACAACAAAGCCGAATATGAGGCTCTCCTCAGCGGCCTCAGACTCGCCGCTGGCCTCAGAGCCTGACACATCAAAGTCCGGTGCGACTCCAAACTGGTAGTGGGCCAGGTGGAGGGTACGTACGAAGCAAAGGAAGGCCGGATGAAGCAATAAAAACAAGCAGCGGAGGAGCTGCTGAAGGCGTTCGAAACCCACGAGATCACACAGATCCCAAGGGCCGAGAACGCCGAGGCCGACATCCTCTCCAAACTCAGCTCGGACACCCCGGAGCACATCTCCCAGCTGGCCAAGATCGAGGAGTTGAGCATGTCCAGCATCCATGCCAGCCCCGTATTGTGCGTCCAACAGCGACCAGAGGACTGGATCTCCGACATCGTCACCTTCATCACGACGGGGGAGCTGCCCCCGGACGAGGAGAGGGCCAAACTCGCCAAACTCAGGACCCCAAGCTACACAATTGAAGATGGCAAACTCTACAAACGATCCTATAATGGCACTCTCCTTCGATGCCTCCACCAGGATGAGGCCGACATGGCCATGGAAGAAGTTCATTGTGGTGTTTGCTCCTCGCACCAGGGCCCTTTCAGCATGTCCCGGCGTCTCGTCGTCCAGGGCTTCTTCTGGCCGACGATGGCACGAGACTGCGCTGACCTGGCCAGGAAGTGTACCACGTGCCAGGTACTCCAGAAGGCCCCTGGTCGGCCAGCCGTCAACTACTCCCCCGTCAGCACTGCAATTCCATTCTCTAGATGGGGGATTGACCTGGTAGGCCCCCTGCCCAGAGCCGCCGGGAACAACCGCTACATCATCGTCGCCATCGACTACTTCACCAAGTGGGTCGAGGCGGAACCCCTGGCCAGCATCACGGGGGCCAGATGCCAAAAATTTGTTTACAAAAACATCATCACACGCTTCTGCGTCCCCCAAGAGATCATATCAGACAACGACACCCAATTCGAGGCAGCCCCTTTTCAGGAGCTCCTCCGGGAGTTTGGGGTGAAGCATCGTTTCTCCTCCTTTGCCTACCCTCAGGGCAACGGGCAGGTCGAGAACGCCAACAGGACAATCATGGAGGGGCTGAAGAAGAAACTCCAGGCCGCAGGGGGTAGTTGGGTCGACGAGCTCCCCAACATCCTTTGGTGCTACAGAACCACGCCGAGGAGGGCGACAGGTGAAACGCCTTTCGCCCTGTGTTACGGCTTTGAGGCAAAGGCACCCACGGAATTTGCCATCCCCAGCCGGCGGGTGGAACAATACGAGCCTGACGCCAATGAAGAGAACATGAAGATTGACATGCATCTGGTCGACGAGAGGCGTGAGCAAGCTTACGTCCGAGCAGCGAACTACCGGCGTCAAGTAAAGTCATACTATGACGCCAAGGTACGTTCCCGGGAATTTCAAGTGGGGGACTACGTCCTCCGTCGAAGGGAAGCAAGCCAGCCGACAGAGGGTGGCAAGCTAGCATTGAAGTACGAAGGGCCTTACATCGTCAGTGCTGTGGTCAAACCCGGCACCTACAAGCTTAAACGCCCGAATGGGTCCAATGTACCACGAACGTGGAATGTACACCATCTGGTGAAGTTTTATCAGTAATCCGAAGGAGGTGCAGACGGCGAAGCCCTCACCCCTTAACGGGTTACTGATTGAACGCCACCCTCGGCCTCGAGCCACTTATGAATAAAATCATGTTCCTCTTGATTTTTTCTCTGGAATTTAAAGTAAAAAATTAGCAGGTGCCCTCATCGGCCACCTCAGAGCGAAAGACTCAGGTATGGCCGACATGGCACCTTGCATTTGCAGCCTACGAGCGACAGGCTCAGGCACTCCATTGTATTTTGTATCAGCGAAGGGCTCAGGCCTAGCTGAGAGAGCACGTCGTCCTGGCCCCGTAAGCCTAGAAGTGAAACGCTCAGGTATGGCCGACGATGTCCCCAGGACGAGGGGCCCGCAAACGGCCCACGTCTTGAAACGGGAAGCTCACCGCGTCGTCCACGCGCCGGATCGCAGGACGACAGGCCTGAAATCATGGCCGAGGTGACAAAATCCCAAAACTCAGGGATGGGCAACGACAGCCGTTGGAAACCAACCAAAAGTCTAGCCCGCGTCATAAATAGGCGACGGGACCCGCCCTGAGACCACGGACGTTATAAACGAAGTCCGAACCGACCGAAGGACGAGCACACCCTTCGGCCGAAGCCTGAAAGAAGGATACTCCCCTGAAATAGGGAACGAAAAAATAAAAAGGGAAGCCGAGGACCGCGCGCACTTGCCGGCCCCGAGCAATGGAAAAATAAAATCCCCACAACCCCGGCCAAACTTGGCTAAGTACATATCAGTTGAACACAAATGTAGTACCACTAATAGGTGACATGGACGATATAGCCACACGTCCACCACAGACAAGGGCATCGTCAAGGACGAAGCACACGCCTATAAAACCCTAACCAGTGGTTGGGTGACACGCGAGTGGCAACCTTCATCGGCCACAGCTCTTTGAAGCATCAACACTTGGTAAGAAATAAAGAATTACAATCCTGAAAGATGACCAGGACGAAGCGGGCAGTATCAATCCTGACAATGACCAGGACGAAGCGGGCAGTATCACATCCGCGTAAGAATCAAGCAATCAAGGAACAATCCCTACTGGCCACAGCATCCCGGATGGCCGATAAAGGCACTGAAACCTAGGCTGTTGGTCAAGCGAAAGTTCTTTGGGGATTTGTCCAAGTATAACACTTGGAGAAAATTCTAGGGAAAAAGGTTCCTTAAGAGGATTCCGGCACTTAGAGAAACCATTGGGGAAAGCAAAAGGCAGCCTCATCGGCCACAAAGCCAGGCCTTGGCCGATGAAGGTAGGGCCACCTCTTAGCCGACAACGGTACCCCAAAGAAGAAACTGTGGCATTTATACTTAGAAAATTTTCTAAGTATTCGTATGAAGAAACTCTAGACGAGGCAGGCACCTGTATACCCGCAGGCCGTTAGCTACCTGTGACTTGCATGTGTACTTAGTAAAATTTCTAAGTTCAAAAAACTAAGTTCAAGGTACCCTTATCGGCCACAACACAAGGATCCAGGCCGACCCTCCTGATCAGATCAGGAACGAGGGAACACGACGGCCACGCAAAACACTGGGCCGACAACGACACTGGTTCAACACTTGGTAAATCTCCCAAATCATTTGTCAACACTGAGGAGAGATTCAATACCAGGACGATGAGAACACCCATATACTTGAAGTTAGACACTTAGGAAAATTCTAACAAAAAAGAAGAATGGGACACTACCAAGATGCAGCGGACACCTCAGCTTGCCCGCCTCAGTCTGGACGGAAAGAAAGACACTAGGACAAATCCTATCTAAGTGGATCTAAAACACTTAGAAATTTTTTGAATAAATCCCAAGTGTTACAACAGCGAAGAAACACCGGACAGGCCGACCAGGCCACCAGACTGAATGGGCTACCTCACGGACGTAGCAGACACTCGCGGGTGACCTAAGTTGTAACTTTTACACTTAGACAAATTTCGAAATTAAAATAGCAAAAGCGAATAAACATACAAGACATTCAAAAGCCGAGCAGGACAGCAAAAGGTTCATTCATAAACAATAATGTACATTGGTGGGCGCTTCGACCATTACATCAGATGGGCAAAACTAAAAGATAATTAATTACAAGAAAGGGAGCGGGGAGTAGCCGATCAAGACTCTTGGGCGCCTCCATGTCCAGCCTGGGTTTCCTCTTCGGCGTCCTCGGCTCCCTCCTCGGCCTCAGTCTCCCGGCCGACAGCAGCTGCTGAACTGGTGGCATCATCCAGGAAGTCAAACTCGTCGTAATCCGGCTCGCCGAGGCCGGAACTCTCGATTGGGGGCTCCCGCTCCGAAAGAGGAAGCTTGGCCTGCTCCTCGAGATCTTTCATCAGCTTGGGAAGCTTCAAGTTCCGCCTCGCCCACCCGGAGGTGTAATTCATGGCTTTGAGGGCACGCGATAGCCACCGACACAGGAGCCTCTGCATCCGCTCTTGGCCCATATTGTAGTACACGGCCATCTCCCTGCTAAAGTACTCCTGGCCGGCAGGGGAGTTCATTCCCCAATCTTCAAGCTTGGCGGCCACCACTTCATAACACCAGGAGAGCCGCTCATCGGCCTTCCACCCCTCGGCCAAGAACTGCTGAACGGCCTCATCAGCGGCCTTCACAGCGGCAGCCTCGGCCTCAGCTTTTGCCTTCACGGCTTCATCATTTTTGCGTCGTTCAGCCTCAAGCGCCCTCTGGCTCTCCTCGAGTTTGGCCAAGGCATCGTCCCTGGCAGCAGCTGCCTCATCGGCCCTCTTTTGCAAGGCCTTGGCATCCTCCCGGAGCCGATCCAAGCAGGCTACCGCCTCATCAGCCGAGGCAGCTTTCTGCTCAAGCTCCCTCAGGCGAGCAATCTCCCGGTGCTGCCTCTTGTGGCTCTCCATGAGCATGAAGGCACCCTGCACAAAAAAGGCAAACAAAGACTCAGACAAATGATTCCACCCGGACGACAAAAAAAAGACAAATAAGAAGGAACTTACTTGGACGAGGAGGTCCATCCCGCCTTCGTACACCTTGACGTCCCCGAGCCTCTTGAGGTAGGCCCGATCTTTAACCGGCATGGCCTGGGCCAGCACATCGTGGCCGAGGACGACATCGTCAAAAACACCCCCGCCGACGGGGTATTCCACCATTTTCTGGTAGGTGGCAGCGGCAATCTCCTTGCCGGCCCTCTTCGTCCGTGGCTCCTGGACGAGAGGGAGCGATTGGGCAGCATCGCTTGGAGCAGCAGTAAGATCCACAACGGGACCACTATCGTCCACACTTGGGACGGTCAGAGTACCGACCTCATCAGCATGGGAAGGAGACGGTGCCCTCTTCGTCTTCTTAGTGACATTCAGGCCAACCTCAGTCAATTTCTTCTGATCGTCAGTGGGAGGCCTCTTCTTCTTGGACTGGGCAGGCTTCGGGGCCGCACCAGCAGTAGCCCCGCCCCCCTCGGCCGGGGCACGTCTGGCCGCCTCGGCCTCCTTTGCAGCCAACTCCTCGGCCGCCTTGGCCTTGGCTATGGCCATGATTGAACGACGATCCATGATAAAATCTGCACAAAGGAAAACGAACAGATTAGCAAGGCAAAAGAACAAATTATAAAGGAAGAAAGCCGAAGAAAGAATTACCATCGGCCTCAGCAGGAATGCCCAAATCCAGGCCGTCGGCCTCTTCGAAGGTAGTGGTCATCCTCGGCCAAAGTTGGACATCGTCCTCCTTGTCGTCATATACATAGTATCTTAAGAAGCCGAGGGCGGTCATCTTATATTCGGTGATGTAGTCTTTCACGCTCCTCGGCCCCCCTTCCAAGAACGCCTCCACCTGAGCGTCCAAGATCGAACTCCTCGGGGGGTCGTGCAGGTTGAACCTCCCGGTGTGGCCGAGAGAAGGAAACTCAGTGCCGTTCTCGCCAAGGGATACGAAAACGAACTTGTTCTTCCATCCATGGATGGACGAAGGCAAATCCGTGAAGCTCCTCTTCTTCGGCAGCTGTTGGAGGGTAGCGTAGGCCGCACAGTTTTTGTGGCTTTCTCGGCCGATCTGATAAAGATTCATGAACAAAGTCGTCGGCGGCCTGTAGCCCAGCTCCTCACAGCGGAGCAAGAACCCCACCATCAACGAGTAGCTGTTCGGCGTCAGCAAGGCCGGAGGGAGCCCCACCATGTCAAGATATTCAGTTATGAAGGGGTGAAGGGGAAACCTCAGCCCCTTGGCGAAACTCATCGGGTATACTCCGAAGTACCCCGGTGGCGGATGGAGTACATGGTCCGTCGGCCTGGGTGCCCTAACCCTCCCGAATGGCCCCACGTACATCTGGGCAACTAAGTAGTCAGCCGCGCTGCTCTCCGGCTTGATCAAGAAAATATTTGTGAGATCCAGGTATGCGACGCCCGGCCCACTCTTCGGCCTCCTTATTCTCTTCGGCTTATCTGCTCCCTTCACGGCAGACACCGGTCTCGGGCATGGAATAACAGCGGAAGTGGACGCCCCGTCCACCACTCGGGATGCACCTGCGTCCTCACCTTTTGAAGATGAGGTGGACTCCTCGTCCTCACCTTCGTCGTCCACCGGCTCTCCGGACTTGTAGGGACTTAAACGTTCTATCTCTTCCTCAAACTCCTCAAGCACCTCATAGTCGAGTGACCTAGTGGAGGGCTGGTCGTCGTACGGATAGTATTCTTTGTCTAAGCTCTTCATCATTACAACTACTACGAGCCTAAGGGGAATAACTTCGGATCTAAGGCGTTTTATCCACTAACACTAGATCAAGGCTCAGGGAAGCTAAGTATACAAAGGAATTGAAGAACAAGTCAAGAACTAACCTTGAAGGTATGAAGAACTCGAAGAACAGCTCGAAGACTCTACTCTCTCTCTCTAGAAATTTGGGCAGCACTTCAATATCTCAAGAATGCAAGTGAGGAACCGCTTCGGAGGAGGGGGGTATTTATAGACAAATCTCCAACGGTCACTACACGTGGCACCATATCAATGGCCACCTCAGCAGTCACCTTCCCAGCAGCCGATGCGGCGCCACCCCTTCAGAAATGGGCCGGGCTCGTGAAACAACGTATCAGCGGAGTAAAAGCCTACGGATCACACGGACAATGAGCGCCCACAACGGCCCATATGCTTTCCGGCTTCACAAGTGCCAGCAAGCGCCCACAAGGGCCTATATGCTTGCCGCTTCACAAGTGCCAGCAAGCGCCCACAACGGCCTATACGCCTGCCAAGTTCACAAATGCCAACACTAAGGAGATAACTTCGGCCAGGAATATCATGAACGCCCATCGGCTCTCCGTAACGACCCTTGATGATAACTCTCTACAAGCGATCTGCGCACAAGGGTTCTCCCACAGGGTTACCTTGGCCAGAAAATCGCCATGAGGGTTGGATTTAGGGGGACTACGGAGAGGCCGCTTCGGCCAGGGACTCAAGCAACTCCTTCACCCCTCATTCTCTTCGACCTGAAGCAGTGGGGGACTGGGGGACTACATCGGCCTCAATAAAACAAAAGGAAAAATGCAAACACAAATGTAACCACAAAGCATGGCCACATCGTCCATGTATCACAACGGCGCCAAGGTTTTCGTGACTGCATCTCCGGCCAGGCACTTTGGACTACACGGCGCCTCGTCGGCCAAAGACACATAACATCATCAGCAACGGCCAACAGGCCACCTAAGGCAAGGACATTAATCGTCCCCTGCCAACAGTTAACCATAATGGGCTCTTCGGCCAGGGACATGAAAGCCAGTCAGCGACGGCCAAAAAGAGTGCGCAAGCACCCTTAACGGCCACCCAAAGGAAAGGACACCATCGTCCTCAAAGCAAGGTTCAACCTCAACAGCCTCATCGGCCCAAATGTAAATCTCAACCACCAACGTCCAAGAAAGGGAAAACGCGCCTTCAACGGCCGCCATCGAAGCAGGGCACTCATCATCCCCAAACAGACACACCAAGGAAACAACGGCCCCCCGTCTACAACAAGGAGCAGGTAACGGCCAAAGCACGGAACAAGATCACCCAGATGAAGACAGCGCCACCACCGTAACAGCTAACGGCCTGGGAGTGCCCGCATCGGCCAAGGCAACCAAAGCGCGGGAATCTACTCTCCTTCACTTCGTCTACGTCTCAGCTTAGAGAGTGGGGGACTCCTGATGGAGTATATGGGTCTGAGCCCCAGGACCCACATACTCAGAAGAACTGAAAGCAAGACACTGAGTGGTGCCCTCGTCGGCCAGGGGACCCCCGTCGGCCGAGAAGGTACCAACTCAGAATATGGTCCTGAAGCCAAGGAACCCGGGTGCCCTCGTCGGCCGTGCCCTCGTCGGCCACGCCCTCGTCGGCCACGAAGACCTCACAGAACCGGATTTTACACTTACTCATTTGTACAGCCCATTAGTGGCTTTGTATTCGGCCCAGTAGCGGTCCAGTTGTAAATGGGCCTCCCAAGCCCAAGGCTTGGGAGCCCAACCCGTATTTTCTCTATAAATACTCCCCTTGGGAGTAGTTATAGGGGTGACAAAATCATTCTATTGAAGCATATATTGCACTTCTCTCTCTAGCTCTCACTTCTCTCTAGATATATACTCTATCATATTAGTTCAGAGTGAATAATCTGAGCAAGTTTGTGTAGCCAAAGTTATCCTGGTAGTTCTTCAGAATGTATCTTATATACTGGGAGCAGTCTTCCCGTTGGAGTGTAGAATACAATTTCATTAAATGCTTGTACTGTTGACTTGACTGGTTGGACCTTCGACTTGCTATTTTGGGGGCGCGAAGATACTCGCATGGTCAATCATCAGCTTTAAATATATCTTCGTACGTACAGCATTAATTGAGCATTTAATGCGTGTACAGTACCATGTTCCCGTTGAAAGGTTCGTAGCCGTTAGGGGATTTCCCGTTAGTTTAACGACCGTTGGTAAGTGCCTTCGAGTTATGCAAGGTGCGAGCTTGTCTGATGAGGTTTTCTGATCAGAACTCTGATGGCAGATTCTGATGCCAACTCTGGTATCCACTCTGATGGCTTCTCTGGAGAGCAACTCTGGGAGCAACTCTGGTAGAAGTTCTGATAAGGAAGACCAAGAGGGTTTCTGGCATGTCGACTATTCTAGTACATACAAAGACAAATTCTAACACAAAATTTCTATTGGGGTACTTTCAAATACTAATTGTTGGTCCCGGTTATACTGGATACAGTCTAGAGGGGGGGTGAATAGACTGTATTGGTTTTTAGCTTTTTAAACTAAGTACCAGATTTACAGAATAGCCTGTTCTGTTGAAAGAACAGACTGGCAGCGGATGGGGTTCTGGCAGGGAGTTCTGTTAGCCTCAGAGAAGCAAAGGCAGAAGGCCTTCTGTTAACTCGTAGAACCAGTTCTGCTGAACACAGATACCAAGTCCAAAGAGTTATACAGTTCTATCTAAGTGCAAGTATTAAAAGCAGTAAGTAAACGACACCAGGGATTTTTATAGTGGTTCAAGGAACAACTCGTTCCTCTAATCCACTGTTCCACTAAGCTGTAAAAACTGCCGTTTACAAAGCCTTAGTCCTAGCACTTAAGAAGCACTCCACGTCTTCTTCAAGCCTAGATGTGTCCTGGGATGCACTGCCTGGCTTCCTTTAACACTGGTCCTTTCACTGAGTCTCCTTGAAGTATCACAACTTCACTACTCCAGTTATTTGGACGTCCTTCTTGTAGCAAGAAGAGTTTCTGTTGAAACTGAGGTTCCTCCAACTAGCTTCGTTACAAAATATGTGTATGTGAAGAGCTTGAAGAGTTGAAGAACACTTGGAACTTTGCTTGAGTTGGAAATAGTATTTTTCCAACTTCTGCCTTCTCTTGTAGAGGATAATAAGTTTGAATCTCAAGGAGGCTTTTGCTTTTCAGAGTTTGAATATCTTGCTTGGTTAGCAAAGTTGTAGCAAGGTTATGGCAAAGTTATCCGGTTGTTCTTCGTAGTGTATCTTTTATACTGAGGTTGTCTTCCCGTTGGAGGAGTAGGAGGACAACTGCATTAAATGAGCGATCAGTTGACTTGACTAGTAGAGCCCGGTAAGGTTGGCGGGTTACTATTTTGGGATAAAGTATTCCTGACATTCCGGCCAATCATCTGCAATTACTCTACGTGGCATGGGGTGCATGAAATGAGCATTTAATGCATGCACTGTAGCTTTTCCGTTTTATACTCCTAGCCGTTGAAGGAATCTTTAAGTTGACTTCTCGGTTCTTTGAAAATCTTCTAAGTGTCAGACCTTCTGGTGTCTTTGTCTGAGAGTAGAACAGAGGAGGTCTGGAGCACTTCTGTTGGGAGTATCCAACAGAGACCCAGAAGGGTTTCTGTCAGAGTCAAGACTAACAGAGGTCCTGAGGACTTCTGTTCTGGAGCAGAGAACCAAGGGTCCTCTGTTTCAATAAAGCCTTAAGAGGCACTTCTGTTCTGGGAGCCTTTCTGTTCTTGAAGCCCTTCTGCTCTTGAAGGTCTTCTGTCAAGTCGAATACAT